CTGGTGGAGCTCCGGGGAGCTCGGCAGAGCGCTCCGTGCCGCGGGCAGCGCCGAGCCTCCGGCGTGTGCCCTGGGCGCCGCGCATCGCCCTGCTGCGTGTCGGGGTTTGCGGGCGCCGCCTCGCGCCCCCTGCTTCACCGCCGTTGTGTCGCCTGGCCCGAACACTCCGTTTTGGCGTTAGGGACTCTGCAGATTTGTCAGAAACTATCTGCCTTGCCTGCGTTTCTGCTGTGGAGGAGCTTGAGCTGAGGAAAGTTTTCCACTATTAGGCACAACCTTTGACAACCTTTAGTCAATAGCTGCTCTTGGGCCTTGGCTCCGAGAAATTCTGCTTCTGTGTTTGCTAGGAATTGCATTTCGGTGGCCTAACTTTCAGGTCGATGACACTGTGCTGAAGCATTTTAATCTTAAATTAAAAGGAGTTGTTATAGCGATTATCTGAAATATTTTTAAAGGGGAACTACGTGCCACACACACACGCACAGTAACATCAAGAAAAGGAGAACAGAAGAGAAAGACAAAATTTCTGTATGAGATAGAATCAGTTTGATTTTTTTTTTTAATGAGGAAATTTAGTTTGGAAATAGTGAAAACAACAAATTGTATCCTATTAAGAAACAGGACAGTGCTGAGGAATGAACTGTTCTGTCTATGATAGTAATGTGTTGCAGTTTTGTTTTGTTTTGTTTAGATAGCTGCATATTAGAGTAAGGTGGTACAGAACCTTTTTTCTTCTCTGTTTGCAGATTTAGATAAAGCTTATTCTTCCATTCAGTGAAAAATCAGTTGTGTGAAGGGAAAAAATGTGCTTTTGTGTTTTAAGACAAACTTAAAGGTACTGTAAAGCAATTTAAAAAAAAAAAAAAGTGAAATATGCCCAGTTAGCCTGGTAGATATGTGAACACCAGTGATGATACTGTTATTGATTTGCAGTTTAAACCACTAGTTGCTTAAAAATGTAGTTTATGTATAAGCAATAAAGTGGTTTAAAAACCTCAAACTTTTCCCTTTCTACTTGCATATTGTGGTTGTTTTTTAGGAACTGGTTTTGACTGATGCTTAAAAAAGGGAAAACATTAGTTTTGGAATTTACTCTTGGCTGTTATCACCAAGCTTTGGAATTGCAGCTGACAGTCATAGCTGAAAGCTGTAGTCTGCCTTGCTCATTTACCAGTTAAAGAAATTGTGGAAGATTTTTTTGCCCTTCTTCTGGATTCTTTTCTCTATATATCTTTTTTTTTAATAATTAAAAGAGAAAACTTGTTATTCATTCCCTTTGTAAAGATCATCACCCTTTGTCTGATGGCTGAGCTCTTGTACTCTAAGGTCTGTTGCTGTCTGTAGCTGAAGCAAGGACCTCTTGATGGACATGTGCTTGTCAGCACCATCTTACTGTGTGGCTTTCTCACTGCCCCTGCATTGTGCCTGCCCAAAAAACAAGCAAAGAGTCTAGCCCTGTCCACAGTTCTGGCCACATAGGGGCCTTTACGTTGTGTCTGGTCTGCTAGGGTATGCTGTGCTCTTGGGAGTGCCTGTTGAGTATCCTGGGTTTGGTGAGAGAGGTGGAGAACTGGCTGAGACTTTTCAGACACTTTGTTTTCCAATAAATTCTGTTTCAACTATAAAAGGAAACAAAAGTTTCTTAACATTATAGCCAGGGCCCTAGCTCCTAGGGAGGATGTTAAGCACCATCACACTATGTACCAGCCTCTGTTGTTGTTGTTGTTGTTGTCTTGCCATCTCCTGTCATTCATCCTTATCTTGTTTGTAGCATCTCTGCAGCAATGCCTGTTGAACCAGGAAGGAAAGAAGCTCTTATGAACTGAATTATTCATCTGCTGTTCTTGGTGTGCGCTGGAGGGCATGCTGGGTAGAGAAATTTTCTCCCTTGCTTTGAAGGAAAACATTAAATGGTGTCTTCTTCTCTCTTGTCCCTTCCCCCAGCCAGCTGGGTGGTCATTCATGTGCTGCTCTAGTACAGGGCATTTCCCTTGCAGCTGGAAAAACGCTGTGTCACTGGCATTGACACAGACACGATTCTTCTCAGCAGGGGTCTCCCACACAATAATTTTTATAATTCTAAGACATTGGAACAAGTGTGTTTTTTGTACAGTGGGCTCACTGATTCATCTGAAACTCTAATGATTAGAGATGATGAATAGATTAGAACTGTCAACACATGAACCTTTTACCTTTTGCTCTTCCTGAAATTATGTAAAATTGAAGAAAACAATGATGTCACTTCTTTGTGACCTACATTAAAATAGCAAAGGCTGCAAGTGAAATACAAAGGGGAAAGCTCTTGAAGTTCATATTTGCTTTGCATCTTAATAAAAGAAAGCATGTCTTGCTGTTTTAACTTTATTAAGTTAGGTTTTTGGCAGCAGGTTTTATAAACCATGTGTGCTAATGCAGTCCTTGTTTAGCAAACAGCCTTTCTAGATGCACAAAAAGGAATTGGAGGCAGTAGTTGATACATTTAAATAATGTTTATCATTCCTAGGAAAAGGGAGAAGTGATTCTGTCCTCAGTTTTAATAGTTGAATGTGCTGTTAATTCAGACTTTTGAAATGCACATTTTAAAGGGTCATTATCTGTATTGTATTTGAAATAAAAATGTGCTCTCCTGATGGAGGGTGTTGTAACAATAGGGAAACCATGATCTTAATTGAATTCGTCAATGCACACTGATGAATACCAAAGCGATCATCATCAGTGTTTGTTTTTCAGTAGTGCCAGGCTACGTTTCTTGGCCAGAAATGGAAAGATGAAGTTCACCTGGTAACAGGGAAAAAAAGAGACTTCCAAAATATGAAACTTTCAGCTCTGGAGAAAGATTTGTCTCTCCATACACTTTGTGATTTCACACCAGTAATACTTTTTAAAAAAACTTTTGGATAATATATCCAAATTTGAAAATCACATGTAATTAAAATCTAGGTGAAAGTATAGTTTAAGCTTATCTTAGAAGTTCTACAAAACTTTGATTAAATGTCCTTGTTTCTAACCAAGCTTGGCAATAAGGATCTCTCCTTGACTGAATCCTGACTGATTTCTGCTCTTTCTCAGTGAGGTGGGGAGAGAAGTGTATGCCCAGATTCTACAGCTGTCTATGGAAATGAGCCCTTTAATTCAGATTTGATTTAACATCTTGCAAGATTATATACTCCTTAGCTGTATGCTGACTGAACATAAAGTTTACCTCTCTGTGTGTCTTTATTCTTTCTTTAATTTGTTATATTCCAAATTAATGAAAATCCTGCAGAAGTCTTGACTTTGTGGTTCTTTGTAATCATGTAAGAACTAAGTCTCTCTCTTGTCCGGGTAGGTGAATGAATCCAAACCAAATTTAGTTGTCTATATTTAGTCTAGGTATCAAGAGTTCCTTTACAAACCATGGAGCTGTAGTCAATTGTTATTAGAGTACAATACAGTTGGCAAAAAGCAGATATTTGCTCTAAAATGAGCATATTTATATGAATAAAACTGCAATTGGCAACAGTTTTCTTCCAGCAAAGGCTGGAGTGTCCAGCTCAGATACTGAAACTGCTTTGTGAGCATCCAGTCATTCAGCGAGAGCCCAGCAGTGTCCAGTTATATGATACGTTGCTAATGCTACCAGGTAGTTCTTTTGTTAAGTTACAAAGCTGCATGAAAAAAAAACATTCTTTTCCTTATTTCAGCTGGAAGACTGTTCTGTTACTTCATCAGCTTAATGATTAGGAACTTTAAAAAAATTTCTTATGTATGCTTGTTGTAGCTAGCTGATAGCATCTTTTTGCAGCACCAGCATTATCCTTTAGCTTAAGTAGCTCTGTATAGAGAGATAAGAGTTCTATTTTCTCCTCATCTGTTTTGCTATGCTGTTTTTTTCTACTTTTTCAATTTGTATTCTCATCTCATTCCTCTAAAATATTCAATAGAAGAATAGACTGATCTGCAGGATATTTTTAAGAATATTGACAGTTTTAAAGATTAAGATTTTTGACAATAATCTTGCTTTTTAAAAGTATTTTTATTGACATTCTAGAGCAGTATCTTGGTCTTTATGCTTCTGTAGAGCAGAAGTTGTGCTAACTGGACTAGACTACGTAATCTGAGGTGTTCAAATGTTTTCATGTAAATCCCTTGTTCAAACCAGTAAATGTCCTGTTAAAATCTGAATTTTTCTTGGGTATAGGTGATCAGAGTTGAACATAATATTAAGAAACTTACACTATCCTGAAACAGCATTTACTTTTTTTTCCCTTGGCTCTATCATACCAGTGATTCATGATGTCCTGTGATTTTCGTGTGCCTGGATTGTCATCCACTTCAGCTATTTCCAGCTGATGAGTCCCCCACTTACAAGAGCTGTCTTTTTTATTAATAGCAGTTCTCAACACCTTGCATCTGGCCCTACTCAGTTTTGTTTTCTTTCTGCTCTTCCAGCTCTTAGATGATATTGTAATCCTTCTCTTGGTGTTGCATCCTAGCTTCTTGACATTGGCAAATTTCCTTTGTGTATTTTTATTCTTTTATCTCAAAATAATCGGTAAAAATGCTAAACAAGGTAACTTAAGAAATCTGTAATTTAGAAATCAGGCTTACTGAAACATTTGGATCAAAGGACTGCAGAACTGTGGTCATGAGAGAATAGTCTTCATCAAGGAAAAATACTAGCTATAGAATGGCTTGTGGAAGAGATTGAATTTTAAATTTACCTTCATGATTTACAGACCATTTAATGCTGCTTTAATTCTGTGTCCAAAGAAAATTTCTCTCTTCTCTCTCTTAGGGAGGAAATATTTCTTTCTAAGATTTCTTGCACAAAGGTTAAAAGCCAAAGTATTAATCAAACTGCTTCAACAGTTAAGGATCAACCGTGCAGAACAGACAGGTAGTTAGGATTCAGTCTTGACCTAAGAAATCACATGTTAAGTTTCAGTGTTAACACTGTAAGGTGTACATGGTATAACCATGTGCTCATTTATTTGTTAGCTATATGTTTAATTTGGCGTTGTGGGTTAATTTTGGTCTGACTGCTAAATATTTCAGTCGCCTGTTTCCCCAAAAGCTGGTGTCTTAAATATTACCACATTCGATAATTGCATGATTTTATAGCAAATCCTACACATCAGAGAACTCAAAGCTCTCATTCTGTCAAAGTGATTGATACATTTAATATTTTTGTTTGTACTCTGGTCTTTACATGTGCTTGTGGTTCAATGGAGTTTTATCCGGACTTGAGATACTCAAATTTTTACAGATTAAGTGCTTTTGTCTGATTACTTTATAGTTTGGTCATTGACTATATAGGCTTAGAACAAATATTGACATTTAAGTTTATTCAGGAGAGACATATACCTGGAAATATTGGTATCATTTTAAACTAACTTAAGGTTTATGCCTTTTTTTTCTTTATGGGTGCTCTTATTTGCATACTACAAACCACAGTATTGTCCTAGCTTAATCATTAAATAAGTCTAAGGTTGAGGTTTATAGAAAGAAGAATTTGATTCCAGCCAACGTAGGTTTTTGTGCTTTTTTTTGTTCATGTGTTTTGATTTCTTCTTACTCCTATGAAGTCTGCGCAGTTGGCAGTTAACTGGATGCTAAGAACAAAACTTTGAGGAAGATGATGTTATTTGTGGCAACAGAAATTCATGTCAGCTGAAAGCTGTGCTAAGAAATGTATGTTGCTGTTTCCTCAAATAAAAACTGTATTGGCCAGATTTCAGTATTTGTTTATGTAAAAATCTGCAAATTATCTACTCCACTAAACTTTCAGAAATTTGTATTAGCGATTAAGCCACATCATAATTTTTTTATAGCTTCTGTTATGAGCAGATGGTTCAGAAGACAAAACTTTCTGAAATTGTTTATGGGAGGAGCCCCAGTTTTCTTCAGCATAAACTTTTCAGTATAATCCATTCAGAGGAGTGAATTTGTGTAACTGCCTGATATTCCCACATAATTTTGCTGCGTGATTAAAAGAGCAGTTCTGCTTTTTCTCTTTTGGTCTTTCTCCTCTCAGATTCAGCTATGGGACACAGCTGGCCAGGAGCGCTTCAGAAAGAGTATGGTGCAGCACTATTACAGGAACGTCCACGCCGTCGTGTTTGTGTACGACATGACAAACATTGCCAGCTTTCACAGTCTGCCATCGTGGATAGAGGAGTGCAAGCAGCACCTTCTCACCAATGATATACCACGGATTCTTGTTGGAAACAAGTGTGATCTGAGAAGTGCTATTCAGGTATCCACAGACTTGGCGCAGAAGTTCGCTGATACTCACAGTATGCCACTCTTTGAAACCTCTGCTAAAAACCCCAATGACAATGACCATGTGGAGGCCATATTTATGACACTGGCTCACAAGCTTAAGAGTCACAAGCCATTAATGCTTAGTCAACCCCCAGATCGCGATGAAATTCATATAAAGCCTGAACCAAAACCTGCCATGACCTGCTGGTGTTAAATCATGCTATTTACTGTGCTGTCACCTTGTCTGTTTGAATATGCTTCAAAGTTGTGATCTTGGCAAAGTTCCAGGTTTTGGTAGCAATTATAGCAAATCTATCTGGCACTTTAGTGTGTTTTTTGTTTGTTTGTTTTTCCAGGTTTTGGTAGCAATTAGAGCAAATCTCTCTGGCACTTTAATGTGTTTTTTTTGTTTGTTTTGTTTTTGCTTTTTTTGTTGTTGTTTTTCCTGGTATAAATGTGCCCATCTCATTTTCTTGCACTTTGTAATGTACTTTCTGAATTACTGATTTTTCACTATAGATATACAGGAGAGTAAACTTTCAAGTGAAGTCTTGACAAAGCAATTCTACTTGAGCTCTTGCTGCCTGAAAAATTTTTGTCACTTGTGGTAAGGTTATAAATAGTAAGCCTGTTTACTAATTTTTTTCGTTGGTGCTTCATTGGAATAATGTTGAAGGAAATGTATTCTGGAACAGATAAGTAACTTTTGTTTTCTTAAGTCACTGATTAGAGTGATTTTTGATACCTGAAGAAATATATTATGAGTACTAAGCAAGTACCTTCCTATTAAAACAGCAGCAGGGCTGTCAGATAAAGATACTGCTGTCAGTGTAAGTGCATATTGGGGGCTTTAATGTCATTTAATTTCTTAGCCTTGTCTGTTTCTTCATGGTAACCACAAAGGAGCTGAAGAGCCTGCCCCTGTATCCAGATAACTCTTTGATACTGGATTATTTCTTCACAATTAGCATGTAAGGCTAAACTATACATTCCTTCTGATGGAAATAATTTTAGAATAGGACTTGAGAAAATTTAGGATTATAACTATCCAGAATTTTAATGGCCCCACTAAAAATTCCGTGCTCAAAGAGGTCTTATTTGTAAAGATGTATCTGCTGTATTTGAGCTGAGCCTAAGTAAAAATACTTAAATGAAGTAGAATTTGAGTGAAGTTAGCAAAGCTTCCTGTGTTCAAAGGTAAGACTATTGGAGGATGTTAGTCATGATGAATGTTTCCAAGTATCTTGAAAAACACAACTTTTCATGAATCAATTTGATCATGTTTTAGGGATGGAAATGCTTAGGAGAAAATGTTAGGTCTGATGCCCATTGTGGCATACAGAGCTGTGCCTTAGTCATAGAAAAGGTGAAGGCCACCGTGCATTAGTGGTCTGTATTGTTCTGTGCCAGAACAGCCCATCCAAAGGCTTCTGGGCGCAGGAACGTGACTACAGACCGCTGTACATGAGGGCCAGCTTGCTGAAGGCAGAACATTGCCTTCTGCTTAAAGGATAGGGATGGTGCTAATTCTTTAAAACATTTATGAATGCAAAATCAAGTCAATTCTGAAACATGGAGAAAAATCTGCACAGGCCAATAATCTGTTAAAGATATTGGGCTAATGATCATATGCATTTAAATTGGGCATTGTGGTGTTAAAAATAGGAGTTTTTTTTTGTTTGATTGATTGGTTTTATTTTCTGTTTTTAATCAGAAGAGAGAAGATTTTTAAGAACCATCTTCTAGATTCTGTTTTATTTCAGTTCTGTTGTTGGAAAGTCAACTTTTGTAATGAAAATCATGCTAGGTTGCCCAAAATTTACAGAAAACAAAGGGAAATGTAAACCACAGAATTTAGTCTATGACTTCATTCATATGCAATGATGAAACAATATTTTGTGACTTAAATTTCGAAGGAATTGAAATAAACATGAGAATTATTGATTTATAATGTGTAGTGAATGATGCTGACTGGAAAATAAATGTAAGGACAAATGTAGGAGCTGCCATCTTAGTGATTGCATTAGAAATAATTACATTTTTGAAACAAGATATATACTATTTAAACTAATAAAATACAGTATAATTGTATTGCACGTTATACTGATAAAAGGAAAAATATATTGACTTTTCTCTGGATTTAGAAAGAACTTTCAATTTGACCTAACATAATTAGGGTAGTTAAACATTTTTGAAGATACTATTTTTTTTTTCCTGTATAAAGCAACTGTGACTTCCATGGTGTTTTTGTTTATGTAGCATTGTAAAAAGGAACTTTTTCATTCACTTTGAATATTAAATGACTAAAACTGCTCTATAGTTCTTTCTTATGAACAATCAGCTTTTTAACACTAGTGTTCTTGTTTTTTTTTTTTTTTTTTCTTTTAGGAAAGTATTGATCTTCAATTTATTTGTATATTATTACAAATAAACATGGTTTACAGTCCTCTTGGACAATTTGTTTTTCACTCGTGTCCTTAATCCTTTTTTTCAAAAGGATCCATCTTAAGTATTTGTATAGTATTAAATATTTCAACAAACTTTATATTTTTTTTAGTTATTTTTAAAAATATAAACAGAATGAAGAATTCTAAAGTCAGTCAGGTTGAAAGTTAAGGTAAGGAAATGATGTAGAAACAATGTTAAACAAACATGTAAATCTGTGACAAGTTTACTTGAGTTGTTATTCATAACCTGTAAATATGGGCCCTTGTGTCATTAAAATTGTGTGGCAATGTAATATTGTCTTCAGCACGAAGCATGTTTTGATGGTTCTCCCATAACCATAATGTGGCCATTAATCTAGAACCTGATGTGCTTCCTAGCTCTCAGTAGTAGTGTTCTACCCACAAAATCCATGTCAGAAGTACTGAATACTTTGTGTATGTATTTTCACTTACCAAATTGTAAAACTGGGTTATTTTATATGTGAGGTTGGGTAGGAGGGGGAGGATGCAATCCCGGAAACCTAATAAACTGGCTTTGCCACTAACTGCTGTCACTTGTTTTCAGTAATTATATTACAAATTATAACATAATTTCTTGGTAAAATCCAGAATAAAGTACCATAAACAAGGAAAGAAAAACAAATAGCCTGTAGGTTTTGTTTGCTCAGATAGCAATTTTGTGATACACTGTCACAATGCTTGGATTACTCACACAGGAGAGAAGGGCTGAACAGCTCACCTGCTATTACAGAATGTGTTTCAGAGGAGTCTTCTCCCTTACTCTTCCCTGAGTCTCAGCCCATATCCAGAAAAGCTCTTAACTTCACATACACCTGTGACATATGTGTGCAGGATTTTATTAATGTGTACTGTAATGTCCCCCAAAACAAACAAACAACAAAGCTCTTCAGCCAGTAGAGGAGCTGAAGAGCACTGTCACACGGACTGTAAAAGTTGCATAGCTCCACTCTTGCTGTTTTTCCAGCTTTACAAATCAGTAGTTAAACAGCTTTCCACCCAGGGGAAAGCAAGGCAGGGGAGAGAAAATGAGCTGACGTGCAACTACCATCTTCAAATATTGGTGCTACTCTAGGAAGTATGTATTAAGCTTTAATGTTGATCAAAGGGAATATTTTAGGAGCCCACACAAGCATTACAGTGGGGGCAATCCTGCCTTCCCAGGACACTTTTTGACTGCTTGGCACCTTCACGTGTGACTTAAAGAGGTTGCACTACATGGAAAGGGCAAGTCTCTGCCTCAGAAGAAACATCCATGACTGTTTTCCCTCTCCATAAAGACAAAACTAATATGTATAGCACTTTTCTATGCCTTTCATTAGCCTTGAGCTGAGGGGGTTCTGATACTTGCTTTGTGGTTGTCTCTCATAACAGGTGATCATGCATTTGAATGGCAACTACTGCATTTGAAGCTGGTAAGAAACTTACGTGTTTCATCCATCACTGAATGAAGTAGCAGCAATGTTGCCTTTCAGTGGTAATCTTGCACTCGAAAAAACTAAACTGATAGGGCTGTTTCTAAGTTGCACTGAAGTCTGTTACAAGGAGACCTCTAAGTGAGCTTCAAAGTTGTATTTCTTCATAATGCACTTCACAAAAAAAAAAATGTGGTTTGGGTTTTGGGGGTGTCTCTGTTTGCCCTGCAAGTTGTGATGAGGCCTTATGCAGCAGAAAGCAGGCATCAGGGAGGCTTGTGACACACACACAAAATCATGGAAGGGTTGAGGTGGGACCTAGTTGGGACCTAGTCCAGCCCCCCTGCACAAGCTGGGTTACCTAGGGCACCTTGTACAGGATCATATCCAGGTGGGTTTTGA